AATAAATTTCAATGTACGTAAAACGCTTAACTGCTTCATTACCTTTATACAAATATTTTCAATATGGGTACTCCACTTGCTTGTCAACAACATCAATACGAGTTCAAGGTTAGGAATCAGTAAAGCTTTCGTTTTTGTAGGGTTGAATTTCACCAGCCAAATATCCGCCCATTTTTGAATTGTTTCCAGGTCATTATAAATCTTGGTATCGATAATCTGCTGGGTAGATGCATCAGAACATAATAAAGACGTATCGTCAGCAAATAATTTAGACAAACTTTCAAGATTATCAGATATATCATTAATATGTAAAATAAAAAGTATAGGGCCTAGTACTGAGCCTTGAGGGACTCTAGTATTAGAGGTTTTAATAGAAGACTTATCGTTACCAATAAAAACTAGCTGCCGTCTATCACTAACATAATTACATAATCAGTGTAATAATTTTCCCGATATACCATAACCAGCTAGTTTCACTTTCAGTCCATTGTGCCACACAAGATCGAATGCTTTAGATATATCATAAAAAATAAGTAAACAGGTATGCTGCCTTTTATCTAAATTTTTGCATAATGTGTGATAAATGTCAATCATTTGATGAAAAGTAGAGTGACAAGGTTGGAATCCAGATTGGAATTTACATATTAATGAATTATCTACCAAATAGTTGTTTAAATAGTTAACAATCAATCCTTCAAAAACGTCACCAATAGTGCTAAGGAATGTTATTAGTCTATAATTAGCAGAATCATGTTTATCTCCCTTTTTAAAAGCCTTGTTTCCACTGGTTTGTAGAGTTTTAAGGGATAGAAGAAGAGTTACTTAACTTGCTGTATGTCGCTACCCACAGCTTTACTAGAATGTCATTCATGTTGAATGGTATGTCGAATAAAGTGGAGTCTGTCGACCATTTGTTGACCCTAATGACCTATCCTGTGTTGATGTGCCGTTAAGCATTGATAATAATAACAAGAGGTCCATTGGACCTGTATCGCTCACCTGGTTTTATATATAAGTCATTACAACTGAATGCATTAGTACATCTTTATATGAAATTTCCTCAAATCCAGACAAGATATATGTTCTAACCCAACTGGGACCACAATATCTGACTTTCAACTAAACAGGGGTCTCCATTGAGTTGCCATGTTAACAGATTTTGAAATAAGTAATATGTCATATTACAGGGTGTAATTAGACAATATTTTAATTTTCATTCAACTATAAGCTTTTATAAACCTAGAAACCAATTTCTAACAATTTATGAAAACTACACCATAGAATATGATAATCTAGCTGTACCATTTTTTAGGACCGCAGGGGTCCAATCAACCTCTTTCAATTAAGAAATGTTTGTTCTTCCTCAAAAATGTTTTTGACCAAATTTTGTACAATCCACTCAGGCAATTAGGGGGTATTAGCGTCTTAAAGCAAAATATTAGATAGTTTTCCTGTTTGGGGCCCGGTCTTCCTAGCCCCAGGGGTCGAACCAGCCTCATTTATTTAGGAAATGGTTGCCCTTCCCCAATGAAGTTTCAGAGCAAATTTGGTTAAAATCGTCTCTGGTTTTTATGGCCCTGCCCCCATGACCACAGGGGTCGAACCAACCTCATTTATTTAAGAAATGATTGCCGTCCCCTACTGATGCTTCAGTCCAAATTTGGTTGAAATCCTATTTGGCGTTTAGGAGGAGATAGGTTTTAAAGAAAATGTTGACGACGGACGCTGCGCCACGAAATAAGCTCACTATGGTCCTTCGGACCAGGTGAGCTAATAATAATACTGTCCGAAGTTCTACTGTCGGTACGTCAATGTAAATATCAACGATTGTTGAGATGGAAACAAAGTTATCATTTAGGATGTTAGATTTTATATCGTTTGGTATTTCTAATTTTCCAGATTTATATCTATGGGGAGGTGTACTATTGGAATTATCTCGAGTTTTTATTAATCTGCGGACAATTTCCCCCCAAAAAATCTAGGGTTCAAATCAGAGAATTCAAATGCCATTAATGTCCGCATAAAAACTTTTCTTAAGATTATTCACATGATTCCTTTGTTTCCGAAAATTAATAAAGTTATTTGAAGAACAATTAAATTTAAATTAAATAAGTGCAATAGTCAGTCTCTTTTCCTGATTTCCCGTCGTAGATAAACGTTAATATCTCGGCATTGGTTTGACCGATTTTCGACATTTTTGTTTTTGGATCATATAGAATAATAATATATTCATTACTAATTCGTTTAGGGTAACCTTTAAATATAATATTGTATTTTCAATATTCTGATAGAATCTGTCTGAACAATAAAACTTCCTAAGTTGTTGTCTGTAAAATTTGCATCTACTGGTGATGGAAAGACTGACAGACAAGCTAAATTCAGCGCAGTTCCTAATTACTGCGTTGTAGAGGGGAGTAGAGAGGAGAGGGGAGGGGCGGGGTGTTATAAAATAAAACAAGAGGCCCAGAGGGCCTGACATCACTCACCTGGATCCTTACGGTTTGGGGATCTCAACCATTGTAAAAGTTATAGTCCAGCAATAATTCCGGGCCTAGGATTTGGACCAGACCCGAGGATCTTTACCAGCCTCACCATTGTGTTGGTCTCTTGATGCCCAGCAATGGTATGGTATTTATTAATGGTTATGGGATGGGGATCTCAACCATTTCAAAGTTATGAAAGAAATCAAGTCCCCAGGGGTGGGACCAAACCCCAGCGTCAATTTTTATATAAAGATTGTGTTTGTCTCTTGATGCTCAGCAGTTGTATACATGGTGTCTAAGTTAAAAAATAGTTTTGGCCCCATCCCTCCAACCAGGGGTTCAGACCCTCAACTGCTATACTTTTTAATCCTCAAGCACCAAACATTCAACAAATATGGTTGATATCATTATGACCATATTACCCCTTTTTGGCCCTGGCCCTCAGGCCTCCATGGAGTCAGCCCCTCCATTTGTACAAGTCTGAATCCTCATCACCTGAGAATGCTCCTTTCAATTATTGTGTTAAAAAAATATTCATCCATGCTAAGAGATGCATTGCTTATTTTAATGATAATTTGATATTTGAATATTAAATTATAGTTTATATACAACAAGTTTTCCTTGCCGCCTATGTTTCTGTTTTTATGTAACGTAGGTTGTGTATGTGTATATATGTAGCTGCCAATTAGCATGTATATGTTAATGAGATAAGAGGGATGCTGCTGATCGACCAATCAGCGTCCGCCTGAGAGAATGCCCCGTTAGGGATTTTCGAGCCCCCACAGCATAGTTTTCTGAGTCATTTAAGGAGATTGTTGTGCATTCCCACCCGCCATCCCCTTCAGCTCCTCTAATTGTACTGTTCATTCATGCTATATATATATATATATATTCTGTACTTATGTATGATTGTAGTACCATATATGTATGCTATAACATTATTTTGTGTGCTTTGGTTTTTGCTATACCCTTAAGCTGTCATACAAATGTCAGCCAGGTTGGTCTCTTGATTTTGTTTTTATTGTTTGGGCTACTCACTCTTAGTTTTATTTTGGAATTGGACAGGCATTTAATTCGTTGGCATTTAATTCTTGGGGAATTCTACCCCCAATCTCATAATAATATTATAGTATTTTACGACAGTATGTTTCAGCTTCTCTCATATCGTTGAGGGTCTAGCTAACATATTCGGCTTCTCTCATACCGTTGAGGGTCTAGCTAGTCGTTGAATATTATATTTCTCATGCAGCTTCTCCAGGGTCGCACGCAGAGTCTAGTAGCTTCTCTGGAATCGTCCAGGGTCTAGTTGCTTCTCTGTATCTTTGGAGTCTTGCTCGGTCATGTAGCTACCGTAAAAACCCATGTAATTTGCGCACCAGTGTAATTTGCGCAGGTACTTTTTGAGGCTGAAAATCTGGAAAAAACCTTCTACTCGAATATTTTGCGCACCCCAAAAATCTGGAAAAAAAACGATGTTCATGCTCCGAAAATCGATCTCTGAATATTTAAAAAAAAAATATATTTCTATGTTTTTTTTTTAATTGATGTAAAATGATATTTAAAACCAAGAAGAAACTACGTAAAATGTGTATTTTGTTGCTTGTTTTCTTGTAGCTACTCTGGGACACCTCAGAGTCCAGATTCTTTAAATTTTAAAATATTCTATTAGTAAGTTTAGTTGTTTTGGTAAAGAGTGAGTAGCCCCTGATACGCCAGACTTGTAGCTTGTATGTATTATAACTGTAGTGTAATAAACAGGTTAAACTGTTCTTGCGTGTTTCGTTTTATATAAACGTTCACTCGATTATTTTGGTTTAATGTTCGTTATCACCCCTCATACCCAAGTGCAAGTCAATATGATTGTTTCTTATTCCAACGTGCTTTTTCTAATAGCTGTAATTTTTATCTGGATTTTCGGTTTCTCAAATATATTAGCAGTACTAGTATTTAGGTTTTATATATTTTCTCTTGGGTTCATTTTTTTTACTAAAGTTACAAAATATTTGTCCAGTTTCGCATGGAATCAGTATGCATGTGTATGTATCTAAAATCAAATTTGAAATACTCCAAGTTCCCCACCATCCTTGTCGTAACATAACATGCAGCCTGGCAATGTTGAAGTTGGCCAGGTTGAATTGGTTTAACACCATGCCAAAGTGTAATGGGGTTATATAAATAGATGTGGTGGTTTAACACCATGCCAAAGGGTAATGGGGTTATATAAACTAGATGTGATGGTTCACCACCGAGCCAAAGTGTAATGGGTTTATATAAACTAGATGTGGTGGTTTAACACCATGCCAAGGGGTCATGGGGTTATATAAATAGATGTGATGGTTTAAACACCAAGCCAAAGTGTAACCCCAGGGTTATATAAATTAGATGTGATATGTTGTGTAACCAGCAAGAAGACATGATATTAAGAAAACTTAAAAGAATCAAAAAAAGCTATATTCAAAGGAAAACAGAGTATACGGAAAGAATTGTAAAATCAGACACATGACATTAAGCAATGTATTATATAATATGTATTTATTTGTAAATTTCAACAGTCTCTTAAAGTAATGGTACATGTACTGTTCCCATATTTTCAAACACTTACCTTAATTCTTACTGTTTAAATAAATATGCTAAACATTACATAGGCAGGTATACACCAGTAACAATTCACTTTTACATTAATCTTTGAAGCTCTTACATATATACATCTATTAATTAAATTTAAACATGAGGTTCAGGGGGCCTGTATTGTTCACCTAGACATTTCAGTAATCTTGGCAAATATGTTCATATAAATAATATTGCAAGTAAGATCCTAGGACAGGGCCAGATCCCAGGATCAATCCTGATAATATTTCAAACTCAGAAATTGTAAGCCTTGCACAGACCCCGAGGCCAATTATGGTAGCATAATGATTGTGTCCATCTGGTTAAGGGGTGGGGATCTACACCATTTCTAGCTATTAATACAGAACTGACTCTATAAAAGTCCATGTTATTATCCAGACATTAGGATGCTAGAGGTGAGGCAGAAGCCGAATCTCATTTTGGGGCCCGTCACTCTGCACCCAGATGGGCAACATCCTCCGTTTGTACAAAATTTAGTCCCCTTTTGCCAAAGGATACTTATATATTTGGATAAAATTCTTGCAATAGTTTAAACTTCAAATTCCCCTATTGGGCCCCGCCCCTCTTCAACCAGAGGGGCCACACCCTCTGTTTATATAGAAGTTAGTCCCCTTTGCCAAAGGATACTCCAGGGCAAATTTGGATAAAATTCCGCCAATGTTTCCGAAGAAGAAGGATTTTGAAGATTTAAACCTCCAAGTCTCCTTTTGATTCCTGCCCCTCTGTGTCCAAAGGGGCCACACCCATGGTTTATACAAAATTAAGTACCCTTGGCTTAAGGATGCTCCAGACTAAATTAGAAAGGTTTTATCTCTATTTCACCTATTCGGCCCCACTCCTCTGTCTCAAGAAGACCACACCCACTGTTTATACAAAATTGAGTCCAATTATCCCAAAATGCTCCAGACCATATTGGGATAATCCCTTAATCCTTATGGTTCCCTACAGCACACTGGTTCTGTATTAATGGTACCAGCACACTGGTTCTGTATTAATGGTATCAGCACACTGGTTCTGTATTAATGGTATCAGCACACTGGTTCTGTATTAATGGTACCAGCACACTAGTTCTGTATTAATGGTACAATATGATAAAAGGTTTTGCATTGCACAACTAATGTCAATCACAGCCATATTTTTATTTACAGCGCGGGAAAATCTCTGTTTAATCATTTCCCAGGTTTGGGTAGTACTCTGACCAGTTTTTGACTAGAATAACAACGTAGTACTTGAGGACGGAATCCTAGTTCTGCGTTACTATGACCACTACTATCCTGGCCATAAAAGAGATTTCAATGCTTTTATGAGATTTTGTCCAATAACTGACAGTCTGCTAAAACTGCTTGAAGTGTCGCCTGTAATAAAAAAAAATAAAAAATATTAAGAAATAAACAATACAAGTCCTGTTATATGGTCACATATTGTTTCAATCACAAGGCCCAAAATATAGGTTGCCACTTTTGTGTTTCAAACAAGAGAGCTATGCACAAATCAGTAGTTTAGTTTAAACATATTTTATTGACAACATATTGACAAAGGGACTAGTCAATATGTTGTCAATAAAATCTGTACATTCTGTTTACAATAGTATCTTGATGTGGACGTGCTACACATTTTCTGCTTATAAATGCATACTTTGTAAAATCATCCATTTACATGTTACACCACAGGCCGGTGGTTACATCTGCAAGGGCTACCCATACATAAAGTTTGAACTCTGTAGGACAATAAGTTTGAAACTTATCATTCAGGGAACAAGAGGCTTATTCACACACCAAATTTTTTGTATGATCAATTGTTCTCAAGTTGTCATTCCCACCAGGACTATAAACAGACGGACACATGGGCGAAGTGAATACTGTATACCCGCAACTTCATCGAAGCAGGGGTATGAATATCAGGAACGATATTTACCATTATGACCTTGGAATGCGATGAGGTAGAGACAAACAGTGAGGGCCGCCACCTTCAGGATGACATCCAGACTGTATAACTTCATACGACTCACCAGGGCCTTAGCAAATGTAATCAGGTGATGGTCTGTAACATCATAAACACATATAGCAAATGTAATCAGGCGACGGTCTGTAACATCATAAACACATAAAGCAAATGTTATCAGGCGACGGTCTGTAACATCATAAACTCATATAACAAATGTAATCAGGTGATGGGCTGTAACATCATAAACTCATATAACAAATGTAATCAGGCGACGGTCTGTAACATCATAAACACATATAACAAATGTAATCAGGTGACGGTCTGTAACATCATAAACACATATAACAAATGTAATCAGGCGATGGTCTGTAACATCATAAACACATATAACAAATGTTATCAGGCGACGGTCTGTAACATCATAAACACATATAACAAATGTAATTAGGTGATGGTCTGTAACATCATAAACTCATATAACAAATGTAATCAGGCGACGGTCTGTAACATCATAAACACATATCACTGATAATATTAGTTTTGCAGTGATAACTCCCATTGAGTCCCAAGTAAGTTATTACATTGATTTCTTAAAGAAAAACGTGAGTTATAAATAAATTTGTTATTACATTGATTTCTTAAAGAAAAACGTGAGTTATAAATAAATTTGTTTGTCCATTTTATGCAAATAAACATGACAACTGATTATGCTTAATAATCAAGTGAAATTTGTTTAAATTTGGTTCACACAATAAACAAAAATTTCTTCTTAATCATGCTCTAAAAAGAAACACTTGATATCAATTAAGGTCTGGACATGCAATTTCAATAATGACAAGAAAACCGAGCAGGCTAGAAATTATATATCACACAGTGCTGTAGTTTCTGTTTTCAAACTAATAACCTTTGTAATAAGATCAATAGAAATCAGTCCTGCTCTTTTAAGATATGAAATTATGTTGCAGAAAATTTGAAGGAGGATTATTTTTGGTTTATCAGGGTTGCAATGACTGGACTCATGTACCTGTTTGTATCTTGTCTTTCTCCTTTGTACTATTTTGATTGGCGAGTGATTCTGTGACATCTATTTCATGGCCTTGATCTTTGACCTGGACGGAGGTATTGCCATCCTGCTTTGCTGTGTGTAGTGTGCTGTAGTAGTCCATCAGATGCTGCTGGTCAGTAGTGGTCAATCCAGGACATGACTCAAGGTATCGTGGGATGAGTTTGACTTTACCCTGGGGCAGAAGTATATGCTTAATACAAACGTCAACAACGTCTGTGTAACCTTCTCTTCCTACGTTGCCAGGGTGCTTCAGCCAAACACTGGACAGAGCGTGGCATTGTGTATACTCTTTGACTTTTGAATGCAACAGGATACTGGAAAAAATGTAAACAAATTAAGAGTTACTTCCCTCCATTTGTACACATTGAGTTCACTTTGCCAAAAGATATTCTAGAAAAAATTGGTTAAAATCCCTCCATTGGTATAGAAGGAGAAAGTTTTTAAAAATATACCCCTATTTCCCTTATTTGGCCTCCCCTCTCTCCCCTCGGGGTGCCAACACCCTCCTCTTATACAAAATTGAATCCCCTTTTGCAAAGGATGCTCCAGACCCAATTTGGTAAAATTCCACTTAGTTGTTAAGGACGAGTAGCGTTTTAAAGAAAAATGTTGACAGATTATGGATGACAGATGCTGTGCCATGGCATAAGCTCACCAGTCCTTCGTACCAGGTGAGAAAGAAACACACTGTTACAGTCTGAGTTATGTTCCAATAACTGAAATAACTGAATAAAGATTGAGTTAACCAAATTTCTTGTTTAAATATCACATGCTAGTGATTTGTTGTATGACAACTCTATAATCTTGAGTATGACAACTCTATAATATGTTGTATGTCACCTCAATAATCTGTTGTATGACAACTCTATAATATGTTGTACGACACCTATATAATATGTTATATGATACCTCTATAATATGTTATATGACACCTCTATAATATGTTATATGACAACTCTACAATATGTTGTATGACACCTCTATAATCTGTTGAATGACACCTCAATAATCTGTTGTATGACACCTCTATAATATGTTGTATGACACCTCTATAATATGTTATGACACCTCTATAATATGTTAAGACACCTCTATAATATGTTATGACACCTCTATAATATGTTGTATGATACCTCTATAATATGTTATGACACCTCTATAATATGTTGTATGTCACCTCTATAATCTCTTGTATGACACCTCTATTATATGTTATACGACACCTCTATAATCTGTTGTATGACACATGCACCTAAATTGAGAACCCCTTCTTTTGTAGTATATTTTACAAAAGTTGCCTCCCTTCTATCATACTGGTAGTTCGCACACTAAAGTTTATGACCAACAGTTTAAAGTTGAGGCTGCCAAGTTTTATTTCATAACCTTGGTGCCAGTTTAACCCTTTCACCCCTTTGTAACTTTAGTAGACTCTACCATGCATTGATATGGATGAGTTCATTCATAATGGTCTACCGTGATGAAAGGGTTAAATCAATAATTCATCAAGATAATTTCTGGATCATTGATGATTTCCTTAAACATTCAATAACTGATCGAACATGTCATTCAAATGATACATCATCTGTTTGATAATCAGACAGAGATTTTTGGGAAATAATAAATATAACATCTTATATTATTCTAAATCTTGCTAAAAGAGCAAATAAAGAGTGCAAAAGCAAATCCATGATTGAATAATATAATGCAACAATTTCTTACCACAGATGCATAACCTTGTAAGGGCAGTCTTCCACACTGCCATATACCTGCTGTACAAACGGCATCACCCGCTGCCACTGGTTGAGTTCAGCATATGCCTGGACCGCCAAGATACAGAGTGGCTCAAGTTTCTCTGTTACACTAACGAAACAGAAAAAGCAATCAGAAGTATAATTTTATACAATAAATCACATTTTTGTTGAAGGCAACAAAAACTGGTTATGAAATTATCAGTTATCTCCCCAGTTTCAGTTTAAAATTGTTCTAGTTAAGGTTGACGTTGTTGAAGGAAACATTTCAGTAAAATAAATGTAACATAAACCTCGTTGTCAATGTTCAATAATAAAATGATGCTCAAGGTCAGATTGTGACACAATACAATAACACATGAGATTCGTATGACACAAGCATTGGTAAGATATCAACTTGACAAGGGGTACAGATAGGAAACTGGAGGGCTCAAGAACATCGTGAATGAAGGTCTGGGTAAAGAAAACTTTGAAAGTTTTACCCCTTGAAATCTATACATTTTCAATGATTTCTAAATTATTGGGAGGGGGGGAGAGTTCATTCCAGGTGTAATACTTGAAAATGATTGCTGAAATCATTGTAGACCTTTTGAAAACTTATAAGCGATTCCATTGTGCAGATATTAACACATCTTTATATATAGGTGGATATAACAACCAACCATAGTATTTTTCATTATTTGCTTATTTTAACAGAATCCAATAAAAAAAATAAACTTATAAAAATGTTGAAATTAAGCATGAATGCTACATTTGAGTCTTATCAAATGATCAATATCTATATATGTATAATTACATATAAACATATATTTATGTGCTGTGACCCAGTTCAGTGTATTTCAGACATTGGTAACAAACCTGTGATCTAAGGGACCCCATTTACAATTAAGCCATAATGTGGCTTTATTGGTCATCCCAGGTTAAAAGGCCTAAATTAATTGAATCCAATCCAGTTTTTTAACATTCTGACTGATCACTTGTTCTATGGCATAACTAACAACTTATAAATAACATCTGTGATTCTGCCTTTTACCTGAATACATATTATTATTACCCTTTTATGACTTATCCAACGTAAAAAGGCCAACTGTTTCATTTAACTTACTGGGACTACTGTGATATAATCTAGTCTGTGTATGTCTTATGTTTGTTTGTACCACTTGTGCAATTCTTCTTCATCTTTAGTGTACAAAGGCTCCATCACTACTGATGAGTGTGCCTCCGGGAACCTGTTTACAGGGGCGTGGACAAATGGTAATGCCTTTTACCTGAATAAACATTATTATATTATATTTTTATTGACTCGAGTGCTCAGTCTACTTGTAGGATGGGTGACGAGAATGAAATGACGAACGGACACAGAATCACTTCAGCATGACAGTTTGGCTTTATAGATTACATTTATGAATAATCTAATAAAAAACGAGTTTCAATATATGAAGATGCCTCTCGTGTTTCCAGTGTCCAACATGCTACAGAAGCCTGTTCCATTACCTCAGATTTTCCGCTTTCATATGAGCCTCGGTAATGCCTGCTTCACAAACTTGTATGCACTCATCAAAGTTTTTAAAAAGAAGTTTTTCAGTGGCTTTATCGATACATTGATCGACAGATAAAACTGGGGAATCGGAGATATTACTCTGCAATCTTTTCGTGATCGGTGGTTTCATGGATGAATATTCGACCACCGCCATTTTCAAGTCATGTGACTACACGGCCGATGCACATTGATCAAAATGATGGTACGATTATTTGTTCAAGAAAGCAATTTGAATTTTAAATGACTTACACAGGAAAATTGATAATAAAAATAACTAAAACATAAATAAACATCTCTAGTATAGCAAATATGTTTTATAATGTAGCCACTAAATATGATTAGTATGTGGATCGCCACTGGTATCTTCCCGTGATAGCTCAGTTGGTAGAGCGGAGGACTGTAGGGGTAATCATAGCAATCCTTAGGTCGCTGGTTCGACTCCGGCTCGCGGGATTTTTTTTAACTTATTTTTCTTTCTCTTTTCACTCGTGATTAGAGGATTTATTACTGCTCAGCAATACATTGCGCTTATGAAAAAGTGGATAGCATAAACTTTTCTCTCCTAGATTTGAAATGTATACATCAAGTTAATCACAGATGACCCATCAGAGGATGATGTTGAGGAAATGGACGAGGGTTTGCCGATACCAGTTTTGAGAACATGGATGATGACACCATTCCAAACTCCTCAGTGTAAATTTGGACCGCTCCATCTGGTCATCCATTGTAACATGTTCCTTCTGCTCTTTCAACTGCTCAACTAGCTCCTCCAACTGCTCAACCAGCCCATACAACTGTTCAACCAGCTCATACAACTGCTCAACCAGCTCATACAACTGCTCAACCAGCCCATACAACTGCTCAACCTGTTCTTGCAACTGCTCAATCAGCTCATACAACTGCTCAACCAGCCCATACAACTTCACAACCAGCTCATATAACTGCTCAACCAGCCCATACAACTGCTCAACCAGCCCATACAACTGCTCAACTAGCTCCTCCAACTGCTCAACCAGCTCCTCCAACTGCTCAACCAGCTCATACAACTGCTCAACTAGCTCATACAACTGCTCAACCAGCTCAAACAAATGCTCAACCTGTTCTTGCAACTGCTCAACCAGCTCATACAACTGCTCAACCAGCACATACAACTGCTCAACCAGCTCATACAACTGCTCAACCTGTTCTTGCAACTGCTCAAACAGCTCACACAACTGCTCAACCAGCTCAAACAAATGCTCAACCTGTTCTCGCAACTGCTCAACCAGCTCATACAACTGCTCAACCATCTCTTAACACTGCTCAACCAGCTCATACAACTGCTCAACCAGCCCATACAACTTCTCAACCTGTTCTTGCAACTGCTAAGCCAGCTCATAGACTGCTCAACCAGCTCATACAACTGCTCAACCAGCTCAAAAAAATGCTCAACCTGTTCTTGCAACTGCTCACCCAGCTCATACAACTGCTCAACCAGCCCATACAACTGCTCAACCAGCTCAACCTGTTCTTGCAACTGCTCAACCAGCTCAAATAGCTCATACAACTGCTCAAACAAATGCTCAACCTGTTCTTGCAACTGCTCAACCAGCTCATACAACTGCTCAACCATCTCATAACACTGCTCAACCAGCTCATACAACTGCTCAACCAGCTCATACAACTGCTCAATTTGTTCTTGCAACTGCTCAACCAGCTCAAACAAATGCTCAACCTGTTCTTGCAACTGCTCAACCAGCTCATACAACTGCTCAACCTGTTCTTGCAACTGCTCAACCAGCTAATACAACTGCTCAACCAGTCCATACAACTGCTCAACCTGTTCTTGCAACTGCTCAACCAGCTCATACAACTGCTCAACCAGCTCATCAACTGCTAAACCAGCTCATACAACTGCTCAACCAGCTCATACAACTGCTCAACCAGCTCATAAAACCTGTTCTTGCAACTGCTCAACCAGCTCATACAACTGCTCAACCAGCTTCATACAACTGCTCAACCAGCTCATACAACCTGTTCTTGCAACTGCTCAACCAGCTCATTCAACTGCTCAACTAGCTCACACAACTGCTCAACCAGCTCATACAACCACTCAACCCGTTTTGCACATTCCCACATGTGCAGAATACCATCCAACAGTTCGTGAGGTCCATATGTAAGTATTTTTCGGGCAGCATTTTATGTTTTATATGGGCTTTGAAATACAGATCACAAAACCATTTCATCTTTTTTTAATCTTTTCAAAATTCTTCTATTTAAAAAAGTGTAATTTCATGTTGTATTCAGATGTAGGTCCCCTATAGCAATCACTGTCTGTCAGTCAATGTATCTGTTTGTCTGTCTGTTCATCCACACTTTTGCTTCTGGAGGTTATCTTGGAATTCAAAAGACCAATCAATAAGAAAGTTGTGATGGTAATGCACTGCGATATGCAATGTTTCTGAGGTCAAGGTTGCTAGAAATAAAGCACCTGGATAATGGTCCTTATCTTGTAATCCAAAGACTAAGCTTTTTGAAATTACTTTGATTAGTAAATACATGTATGAAAAGGAGTTTAATAAAATTAAGGTAACTTGCTAAACAAGAGGCCCATGGGCCTTAACGGTCACCTGAGTCTATAGTATTTATTTTTGTTGTTGAAATATGTACCAATTTGAGTAAAAAATAGTATAATGTTAACTTAACTTTGTCAGGACCATGAGCTGATCATTCCTAGACCAATTTTAAGTGAGATCGGCCTATTAGAACTTAGTAGCAAAATAGCGGCCATGGCAGCCAAATTGTATTTCTGATTGACCCGAAAAATAACAACACTTTGTCAGGACCATGATTCGATCATNGACATGGCCCTTGCTGACCCGTCTTTGTTCTAGTTTACTTTGATAATTCATTATATCTTGAATATATATAACTATACAAAAATCCATTGGGTTCCTAATACAGTTGTAGACCAAACTTCTTCAACAAATAATGTTGATAAAAGTACACCTGCAGCCATCTGACAAGCAGACTGTTATCACTACACCACCTATATCCCCAACTGACACTGATGGTGTTATGGAGATATGTGTACAGTAAAACATAGACATTAGTGAAAAGTGGCTTACCAAAGTCTCCGCATGAAAGTGTAGCTTGTCACATGAATAGGATAAGGTAGCAACAAAGTTTTATTTTGAAAATCAGTTTGTTGTACTTTTAAAATATTTGTTTTACTGCATTGTACAGTTTAGCTTGTATCAATCTGATTAAAATCATCTGTTACATGGCTCCGCCTGAACAGATGTTCAGGCGTAGTACGAAGTTAACGAAGCCATGTAACATATAATTTTAATCAGATTGAGCTTGTATGGAAGTGATATATGTTACATGCAATATGTCTCTATACAAAATACCTATTTGTCAATATCCTCTCATGAAGATTAAAAACATACACCTGTAGCAATGTATGTTGGCTTTTGCAGAACCCTCTCCTCAAATCATAGTTAGCCCCTCTATTACTACATGAGGGACCTGTAGGTTTGCACAGTGCAATTCTTACAGAGCATACTTTACATAATCTGTTAACTATAGTTTCAATTTTTTTATGACATACTGAAATAGAGTCTCTTGTCGGACTTTGTCAAGTTATTGCTCTTATTTCACAATTTGTCGATTCGTTCTCATTTTTGCCGACACCTACAATTGCCAAATTTTGCCTACCAGTGCCTCTTCTGGTGGTGGGTTGTCAAGTACTGAAATTTGGTCTTGGATCCAATAACATTGCTTGGTCATAGTTCTTGGTTCATTACTGAGAACAGTATGGCAATGCATTAACTGCTCACAAAATCTTGCATCTATTTTTTTGCCACATACTAAATATGCATTTGTTTTCTTATATCCTTCATCAATTTCACAAATACTTTCAGGAATAAGTTGCACCCGACAACATTGCTGGATATGACAGGGTGATGGATTTCGCCGACTACCTTGGGAGTCTTTGAGACCATTCTATATATTATGGCCCTGGAGTGTGGTGAAGCTAACCATATTATTGAGTTGTGGGAGGCTTTATCCGACTATGACAGACTGCGGACCAAATTTCCAGCCTGGCATCGCTCTTACCAGATCACTGTTTTTTCTCTCTTCAGTATGATTAATTTTAGAATTGGCTTGTCTACTTAATAAATGAAAATAAAAAAAAGTTAACAACTCATCTTTCCAGAAATACCTTCAACCTGAAATCATCTAAAACTATCAGAGGTTTCGGTAGACCTTAACTTTTAAATTTGTAAACATGACACTTAGTCCAAGACTAGGATATCTGTCTTTTTAAAAGTTTGACCAAAATCTGAAAGGCAATTCTTGAAAAGAAATTGAACTTGTGCTGGTCAAACAGGTTTGTCATGGTGTCAATCTTCACATGTTCAGAGCCATACAACTTTTAAGGCCCATCTTGTTAGCAATTTATGAACTTTCAAGATAGCTGGAGAAAAACAACAACACAATACGGTATAAATATAACAACAACAAAGTCTAATTTTCATAAAATGAGTTACTTTACTTCTATCCACTAGTGGTCAATAATCCCATAAGCAAAGTACAAAGCTGATGAGAACATTGGACAACACAAGCCTGTATCTAAATCCAGTCTTGTTCAGACCATCCACGTAAGGCAGAAAGAGAGAAAGAGGCAGAAGAGGAAAGAGAAGTGATAGCAAAGAGAGAGAGAGAGATCGACTGTAGAAGACAGACATACTTCTGGGATCCACTAGTGTTTGAAGCTTGTTAGTTCATCATGTAGCAGCGACCAATTGCCAATATAGCAACCGATTGCAATATACCACTACCCCCCCCTTTGTTTATATAATACACTGAAACCTGATTTCTGTACAGGTATGAAAATAATGTTTAATTCGCTGTGTACACAAAGCCAACTAGTTTTCTATTTCATTAAACACAAAACTTACCCCCTTTAAAATCGAGTTTGGTTTATATATGCTAGACAAAATAAACCTCTGTACAATAGATGCTAAATGAGTGATAAATGGTCGTTTTGAATGAAAATGGAACAATCAAAAAGGTTACATGTTCAGAAAATCTTACTGCATGTAACGGTTGGAGAATAAATGTGAATAGATGGCTATTTACAATGAAAAATGCACCATTACTGTACCGTCACAGCAAAATGATTCTCTGCCAAACACTCTCACATCCAAAACCCTAACATATTCAAACAGATGAAGGGATGAAGGGAATAAATACAACTCCCAAACCATTGTTATCTGGTCAATCTGATACAGCTCATCAACAGGTATTTACCATTAATATTTACATGTACAAATATTGCCCTACCGAGACCTACTCAAGCAGACAAGCTTCCAAGGCAAATAATGCAGTCAACATGATTTAAATGCCTAGAAATTTTTAAGACTCGTTCATCAACTTTAAATGCGATATAAAGTAAACACAAAAATTCAAAAAGTAAGAAATACATACTTCATGCCACAACACAGTAGTCTTCCAACAAAAAGAAAAATATCTTTTGTCTTCGCCAAAATGGGTGTTATATCGGTGTCATCACACAAGATATTACATCAAAATTATCCCCTAACTGAAATCGTAATATACAAGTTAAGCTCGTAAAGACAAATTAAAGGGTCCCTGGATTTCACCACTCACAATTTTATACCTGATCAATCAAATTGATCAAGGTGAAAATGTTATATATATGTCAATATTACACAACTATAACGCTCGGTGGTAAGCTGAATGATATAACATACAAACGTATCACTGTGTAACCAAAATATTGGTTTCACCAGTCCACCATAACGATCTTTCCTTACAGCACTTTTAAAAGAATATCACAAGAATTGAGAAAACGTTTGTAAGGAGTACCAAATACCCGGGACTAGGAAAGATATTATTTCAACACCTGTGTGTGCATTATTTTAGATACTCAATTACCCATAACACATATCCTTTTTCCATTTCCAATAAAATGTTTGATCAGAAAAAAATAATGTAAATTATCATATGCTACATTGAAGAAAACAAAATACAAAACAAAGAAACTCTCACTCTTCATCAATCACAATTAAACACATACACCCCAGAGAGATGATGAAGTCATTCCACACCAGCCTCAATATAGGCCTCCCGAGTCGGGATAAACCTGCTGCTGATGGTTGTGCCCCTTTTTCTTTTTCTTCCCGAAATATTTTGATTTTCGTTGCACCGACCCCTGAGAGTTGTACTGTGACGGGGATCGCTGAAAGTGCTGTTTATGATCATTATTTGACATTCCATTGTAACCGTGGTTATACTCATGCACGAGAGGTGGTCCGTTGGCAGGAGGCTGCTGTTGTTGTACCTGCAGTGGTGAGGACTGAATCATGTTAAAGTTTGAGTTTCCATTCATGGTAGAGTTGAACCCTGTTTGGTTGGGTCCCTGGGGGCCGTTGATATTGGAATTAAACCCTGTTTGGTTGGGTCCCTGGGGGCCATTGATAGTGGAATTAAACCCTGTTTGATTAGGTCCTTGGGGGCCATTAATTGTGGAGTTGAATCCTGGCTGACCTGGCCCCTGAGGGGACTGCTGGTAGCCAGTCGTGTGACTGGCTGTGTGGGGATGCTGTTGTTGCAACGCTGGCTGGCTGTAGGAGGTCACCTCATTATTCAGTATAACATGTTGAGCAATTCCAAGCCCTGAAATAGATAACATCAATATGGAAATAAGGTTTGAAGGTTTGAATTCCGCTAGCCCCATGCGTGAGGCTAGTATATAAGTAATCTTTTTTTTCGATGTTTGGAAATATACAAGCAAAAATTTGAATGAACAAATGCTACTGTCTTTTGTACAATTTTCATAAATGAAAGCCAGTAACATACCTTGGTCCGTACTCTGTTGAAGGTGTTGCCCTGGAAAGACCTGTGGCTGTGGGGAGTGAGATGCAGGAGGCCCATTACTGTTGACAGTAGGCTGTAGATCCCTGGAGGGAAATGTCTGTATGGACATCAGTGACGGTATCTTGCCTCCCTGTCTCGGGGAGGGCCCCCCTGGGGGAGCTGGTCCCGGGCCATTCTGCATGGGCGGCGGTGCCGCCTGTACCCCAGCAATGTGTGAGTGGGGTGGCAACATTCCTGGAGCCTGACCAAGTCCCTGGCCATTAGGAACAGGGGGAAGTATGTGCCCTGGTCCCACCATAGTGTGAGGCGGCATCATGCCTGGCGCTGGTCCATTGAGCATAGCCGAGTTCTGTCCCATTATATGGGCAGGCTGGGCTGGATGTGGGCCCCCGTGCATGGCCATGTCTGGTTGTAGTGGTGGGTGGAGGGGCGGTTGGCCTGTGTGTGGCTGGGGATGGTACATGGGCTGCTGAAAGCCTGGGTGATGTGGTGGAGGCTGATGAGCAATCCCTTGTTGGGATGGGGCCACCTGCTGCTGCTGTGCCTCTTGTCCTTGGTCCGTATATTCTGCGTGGACAAAAAAGTACAACTGTATAAACAATATATCACTGACAAGATCCTTTTAAGTGTTTTGAATTTCAAAGACTTATTCAACTTTAGAGGGCCCCTTTTCCCCAAAAGATCAGCATTTCATACTTTTGGAATTTTATTTTTTTGATTTAGTATGCTCCTATTAAGATTTAAATTTCCTTTTTACTCAGACAAATTGCATTTGCTTTAAAATACATGTTTGATATAGCAATTAAAATCATCCTGTGACATCAAAGAATGAAACCAAACCAAAGACCCAAACACCCACAACAAAAGGCTCAATCAGGGATGCACAACACCACGGACAGAAAGTTTATGTCAAAGCTACAGAAAATGTTCATATATTTGAAATGCAAAATGTAAATCAGTCAAGAAGAGTTTACTATAGTATTGCTATTATAAAAGTTTAGTACTATTTTCCTATGGTATGGCTATTATAATAGTTTAGTATATTTTCCAATGGTATGGCTATTATAATAGTTTATTACTATTTTCCTATGGTATGGCTATTATAATTATAATAGCCATATCATAGGAAAATAGTAATAAATTATTATGATAGCAATACCATAGGAAAATAGTACTTAACTATTATAATGGCCATACCATAGGAAAATATACTAAGCTATTATATAGCAATACCATAGGAAAATATACCCAGCTATTATAATAGCAATCCCATAGGAAAATAGTACCAAACTATTATAACAGCCATACCATAGGAAAATATACCCAGCTATTATAATAGCAATACTATAGTAAAATAGTACTAAACTATTATAATTATAATAGCCATAGCATAGGAAAATAGTAATAAACTATTATAATAGCAATACCATAGTAAAATAGTACTAAACTATTATAATTATAATAGTTTAGTACTATTTTACTATGGTATTGCTATTATAATAATTTAGTACTATTTTCCTATGAAACTGCTATTTTAATAATTTAGTACTATTCAAAACAAAAGGCCAAAGAATCTTGCATTTATTGTCACCTGGCCAATTTGGAAGTGAGGTTGAAATCTGCCTAGTATCATCATAGGAAACAAATCTGCCAATTAACTCCTGCTGACCCCACCCCTCAGGAAGGTTAGTCCCTTTAATTGTTCGACCATTTTATCAACAAAGGAAAACCCATGAAAAATTCACACATATTGCTGTGTCAGTAATTATAGGCAGGGTCAAAACAGTATCTAAAGTTGATAGCAGATTTTCAGGATTTCTATGAACACCACAGAAGTAAGGCTGTTATACAGCAGCAATGCGGCACGGACATCCGCTGTGCTGTAGAACTCACCCTGACCGCTGGTTGGGACTGCAGAACGAGAGGTTGTGCGGGAAGGAGGAGGAGGAGGAGGGGGAGGGGGTGTAGTGAAAGATGATGATGCTGATGAAGCTGCTCTGGTCGTGCTAACAATGGTGGTGGCGATGATGCGGCGTATATTTCCATCTAGAAAGTAGCAATTTGTCACATTTCATCTCACTCAAATCTCACACGTGTTCATTCACTTAGGATATGTAAATTTATGGAAAACACTATCAAATTGACTTTTTTTTTTAAGTTTTAAAGAATACATACAATCTAACAAACTGCTACTGTCTAATTCTGATGATTCTAAGCAAAATATTATAAAAGTAATTTACCCTTCTTAACGCAAGTCCAGATATATTTATACAAGTATCTGAATGAAAACAATGCTGCATAGATATTGAAAAGATCATGAAAATGAAATCAGAGATTAGAAAGATGAGAAAAGTGTTCAAGCATAACCTATTGACTTGCCCATATAGACATATGAACCACTACACCAGTGACCTACCATTCTTTTCCTTCTGTGCCTCTTCCTCCGTGTCATCAAATCCAAACTCTAGTTTTAACCTCTCAGTCAAGCTCAGTGGTTTAGCAGGTTTTTTCACTTCAGTCGACTTTCTTCTGACGAGGTCTGAAGAGCCTACAGAAACATATACATTGATAGTTTATAAGCAGGACTAGCTCAGGTACATTGAACAGATATCAATAAATACATCTTAACAACTTTTAAACCTTTAATACAAAGAACTGTTTTTATGCATCCACCAATGCAAGAAACCTCCCTGGCATAAACAAAGACAATGTGTATTTTTCTTAAGCATAAAATATATACCAAACCACTGATTTTCATAAATACATACTGACAGTCTCAATTAGCACTCCTTATTTTTAAGCAATGTTTTAGTACACAGGTGTCATCATATACCTTGTATTTAACTGAATTTAAGCATGCAAAACAAGATGCTTACTTTTAAAATGATATCGAGAGGAGTCTTTTGGCGGTGAGGAATCAAATAGTGGTAGCGATGGCAGCGATGGAAGTCGTCTCGAGTTGTGGAGGGATGATGAGCCACGAGATGTCGTTGATGAGGATGGCTTGTTGTATGATGAGGACATGGATGGAGATGGCATGAATGACGGTGAGAGGGATGACGGCGATGTAGAGGGATATGATGTGTATGATGATGAAGCTTGGGATGATGATGATGAGGAGGAGGATAATGGACAGCTGCCACTTGGTGTGCTCTTCTCCTTGAGTCTTTTCCTATACTCCAATAGGCTGACCTGTAACAAGGCAAAACATCCACAATTGCTTCATTAACTGGTAGGAATGAACAAAAATTGTGAAATAGATATTTGTCTGTTGTTACAAGTGAAAATACGCAAAGACCATGATTTCATGTTATCTACCGGTGTTGGTTGAAAAAATCTGGTACCTGAACCACGTAACAGTACCTTCAATCTGGAGATTGTTAATGCATCAAAACAATTTATTCAGTAAAATTTGAATTTGGACTATTCCAGATATGAATATATGTTGGAGGGTGCTTTTGAGACCTGGATGAGTGCAGTCGTATTTGAAAATTAATATGAACGAGTTATCATCCTGATTCTTACCTTTTTCTTTGTGGGTGGTGGGGGATCTGATGGAACAGATGATGATGCTAAATGCGAGTCTTCAGAAATACTAGATGATGATGATGCTTCCCCATTATTTTCTACTTCATCAGACATCACACCAAAATCATCTAATGACGGCGTGTCAGCCTCAGAAGTATTAGGTAAACACATAGAGCCTGTAACACTGGGCAAGCTGTCCTCCGAGTAAACCTCGCTCTTGTCCATTTTAGATGAGACAGCAGCCTCAGAGCTGTCAGCAGTATCACTATTGCCTACCATGTTAGATGTAGCATCTGATGCACACACTAGCTCTGTAGATGATACCCCGACATTGTCTGATGATTGTGATGACACAACAGGTGACACACTGCTTGGTATCACCGATGACACAACAGATGAAGCAGAGTCTGATGATGCAAAGCTTCGTCTAAAATCATCAACTGTTTGTGAGGACACTACAGATTGCACTGAATCCGAGGAGGCTAAATTCCTCCTTTCACTACTACTGCTTACGTCTGATAAACAGCTCTGAGTCTTCTCATCACTACTGCTGCCTACTTTCTCTCCTGATGTATCTAAGGAAACAACAGAAGAGGAAGAAGAATGTCTTACCGACTCGGAGAAATCACTCACAGATTCCACTAGTGATTCCTCCGACTGATGACTGGGCTCCACTTCCTGGTTACTAGAATTTAATAAATCTGTCCTTGATGAGCCGTAGTCACTATCTGTTGACTGGTCAGCCAGTAGTATGGCCACTCTGTCCGAATCACTGGGCCGCCTGCCCACAGACTGGTCGGTGTCCGTACTGCTGTCCACAACAGCAGCCTCCTTCACCTCAGAAGCTACCACAGAGTGAGTGACTACGACATTACTACTGCTACCACAGTCTGCCTGAACTGTCTCAAGCATTCGTGGCTGCAACATTTTGTTCTCATCCACCTTGGATGTACTATCACACAGAGCAAGTTTGTTGTCTTGAGCAGATTTCCCTCCCCCCACATCTCCCATATTAGCACTATCTTCTGTACTGTCCACCTGCATGGACTCCTCAATGGAACCATCGTTAATTTCACCTTCCTCGAGTTCAGACTCCACATCCTGTTGCCTCAACTCCATATCACTGTCGGCCAGATTTCTCTGTTCCTGAATACTGTCACACTCCGACTCCATGGGTTCGGCACCTTTCACCTCCATAGATTTATCACTACCTACATGGGTCTTACTGTTACTAGCACTATCACTCGCAATATTACAAGTCACAGACAACTCGGCCACTGCCAAGTCTATTGTTTTACTACCAGAAGTCCTGTCTTCTATGTCGTTTTCGTCTGCAGCATTATCACTTATCTGTTTAACATTTGATCCTGTTTCATGAAATTCTGATTCAGAACATTTTTCAGTCACTTTTGTCTCAAAAGAATTTTCATGTTCTGTTTCAGAGGATTTTTCATGTATGTCTGTTTCAGGTGATTTTTCAAGTCCTGAATCTCCGAGATCGATCGAATTCCTCCTACTAGAAGTCCTATCTATTGAATCACATGTTTCACTGTCTATGGAGTCCCTGCCTCTCGTAGATTTGTGTATAGTATCACTCTCAGCTTCCTTTGACACAGCCGTACTCTGAAGTGAGAAATTCATGCAGTGACTCCATCTTTCTCGGTCAATAACTTCTTTGTATAACTTTGTCTAAACAAGATTTTAAGGCAATCATTAAAGGAAATATTCACAACCAGAATTGCATGTTTAAATGATTATCCTTAAGATTAAATAAACATATCACTTATTCCTACAAACTTCTTTGTCATTGTCCAGGTTTTCCAAAATTTCTCCACCGCTACCTTTCTCCGAACAATAATTAAATATTAAAATGGTCCCCTAGATGTTTAGTACATTATCACAATACATCAAATTATACAAATGATTGACATGTTCAACTTACATTATATGTTTGAAAACAGCTTGGGTAATTCATCATTCTTAAAAAACCCTTTTTATGCCATTTTGGTGACAGTACCTCATCTTCCTCCTCCTCTATGACAGCTGGAGTGGGGTGATAGTCAGGCTTGCCCTGCTCTACACTATCTTCAGCCTCGACAGACACATTGTAGTCCAAGCCCACTGAAGAGCAGGTTGCTGGAGTGGACGGAGTCTGTGGGATGGGTTGGTCACACGACTCCCGTGCAAACCGCCTCTTTTTCAATGGTGTCACAAAATCTGAAATCCATTACAACAGAATTGATTTACCACTGCCTGTACATGTGTTTACTTGACACTTTATCACTGGTGTACATGGGTTTATTTGACAGTTTACTATTGATTTACATGTATCATATTTCACCACTAAAGTATCTGTATTAAATATTAATATGGAATTTATTCATTAATTTGATAAAATGTACAGCATATTCTTCAAGTCAGATACATAAAAATAATCAAAACCACAGATAATCTCTACGTTTTTAATAATTGAACAGCTGAAAACACTCTCAATACTGAAATATGTTATGAAAGTTCATTTTTATCTCAATTTTCTATGGTTTATGTATGAAATGGAACATGAAAATAGCGGGAGGTGACAAAACTTACCACCAGGGGGAGAGGCCCCAGGGCTAGGGATACTGGGGAGGATGTTAGGGGTACTGACAGCAGGGTTGGGGCTTGCCCCTCCGCTAGTCGCCACAGGAGACATGGAACCACTGTCAGGGCCAGGTTTGTCCCACATGGCCTGTCTCAACCATCGCTGAAACAACAATGATTAAAGTGTAGTCACCAACCACTTAACAAATTTTGGAGGATTAAACACACATTATACATTTTCATGGGTATACTGGTAAGGATCATGTATTGATTTTTCAGTATTTTTTCTACCCCATGACCTCCTATCTGCAGTTTTGAGGCATTATACCTTTTTAGCAGATCCTATACTGTTGTCTAGGCCTGCCCGTGCACTCCCCGAGCTGTGACTGTTGCGGCGCAAATGATCCATGCTGTTACGTGGGCTAGGTAAACATGTGACAAACATGGCATTGTCTTCTACTGCCACCTCCAACGGCTCCGTCTTCAGGCAAAGAGGGTTGGTATCCTGTGTTTTCTCACTCAGCCACTCGCTCATCAAGTGCTGCAACACATCAATCATGAATCACTCAAAACACCATAAATATCCACCTTGTCAAACTACTAGCCCCACTGTAAAAACGTTTGTAGACAAGGGGATTATAGTTTGGTTTTTAAAAGCATAGTATATTTGCAATTGTGAAAAACTTATTCTTATTCTGATTTGCAGAAAAGATACATGATGATCATTTTAATTCCATGAATAATCAGTTTAATATACTGACAAACCCATTCAACATTTATTACTGGGCTTGAAAATTTCTGATTGAATTGATTGACATTTCAAATCTCAATATACACGGAATGATTGAAAATTTGAAAACGAGTAAAACATCAAGAATTTGAGGGAATACACCTGAAATACTTCCTATATCAATCACCTTTTTTGTTTTCAAGAACTTGAAAGATGGTGGTGTGGCTAGGTCTGCAGTCTGTATGGCGGGTGTAGATGGACAGCTGGGCAGTGTGTTACTACTCTCATCCTGGGAGGTTGTGTCAGAGCTACAGCTGCTGCTCATCCTTCCCCTCCTCATCTGCAGCATATTATTCATGATGGAGATGGGAACTGCTTGTTGGACTACATTTTCTGTACTGTTGCAGTTACTGCTGAACCGACGCTTCCTGGACGGCAAGGTGTTCGTGGCCATTGAGCTGGCCGTCACATTTTGTGAGATGGCTTCTAGAGTACAGCTACTTGTTCTGCTCTTCCTGGTGTTTGTCACCACAGGAGCCTGAACAGGAGGGCTGGGTGTCACAGGGGCCGACAACATCTCAATGTCAGATCCTCTTGAGCTACCAGTGTTTATTCTGCTTTTTCTGAAAGTCATTAAATATTACATATACTATTCTGATCAAGTTTTGACGGTTATTATTTATGCAATTTTCTTTTCTTTTAAATCATCGGAAGAAATGTTGCTTAGTAGTAGTTTAGATTTATAAACTATTGCCAATAAATAATGGATGCCCCCCCAAAGAAATACACCTTCCATGTAATGTGGAACCCAATTATTATTATCTTTACCTTCTAGATGCAGCCTTCTTTGCCTTTCTCCTGTAAAATAATTGTATAAATAAATATAAAGTTTCAATTCCCAAAACAAAAGGAACAATTTCATACTTGTAAGATCTAGCCCATAGGCCGTTTCATTCATTTGCCCAATCTATATTTTCATAGTAAATTTTCAAAAGATTTCTCTAGTTCTGACATATATCTACTAGCCCAATACGTATGTAAACCAAAGTGTGACTAAATATTTTCCAAAAACATCCCTTTTGGCATTAATTCTGGAAAATGTAGAATTACTTACGATTTTGGTTTACTTTCCCTTTTAACAGGTTCCACCTTGTCCGTTTCCTCGATCTCCTTTTCAGAGACATTTTCTCTGGCTAGCTCTTTTGAATCCTTTTCCACATCAATTTCTGGCTTGGTAACTTTCTCTTCCTTAATTTCCTCACCGGTGCACTGCAAGGAAACAAATTTATACTTACTAAATCTACATAAATGTAGGCATGTTCTAACTGATGAAGTCAATGCCTAGTTGTTTCTTTTGGAAAACTGATAAATCGAAATTAAAAAGTTGGTCATGATGAATTATGAACTTGACAATCATTACTACCAACAGCTATTTACACTGTCAAAATAAAAATTTGAACAATTCTGCAAATCCAAGCAAGTCGTATTCAATTTCCACAAGTGCTGTTAATCTTAACAAATCTAATATGCTTAGGCCAAATAAAATTAATCACTTGGTTATCAGGCCAATTTTTTTCAAAATAGGTGCGACAGGGCAGTATTTTCTCTCTCTCCATTTTACATGGCAAAAAACGAGACGAGGGCGTTTTTTTTTTATTGTGTAGTTTGTAAAACGTTCATTGTGGGCATTACCTTGTCTTTTTATAGTTGTGTAGAGCCCCGTCAAAGAGCAAGCCTCCGAAAATCCCCCCACGATGTTCCAGACAAGAATCACGAACCCCCCATTCCTTATTTGTACCAAAATGAGCGCAATATTTTTACACAAGTCTAATAAGTCATAATCATTTTAACGCTTGCCTGTATCTCAATCCTTATCTTTATTCAAGCGTTTTCGGGACTTGGGTGACTAACGAGTAAAATCGACATGCGGAAAAAAATTCCGGATTTTTTTAAAGATGGCGGCTGGCCCATACACGATTTTTAAATTTTTTCTTTCACGATAAAATCGGCAATGCGCACGGGCCTGAGAACCAAGTAATCTTTTTTTTTTTGGCCTTGCAACCCAATAGATCAACCAATCTTAATGCATGCTGTAATGCAGATAATCTAAATGCTTTGACATAATATCTGCTACACAGCCAGAGTTTAACCCTGGATTGGCAGTCTAACATTGGAATGATTTCAGATTCAGATGTATTTATGACTCTCCCACCACTGTCCAAAACAGTGCGCTAGAAATGCCTGAAGCTTATAAGAATCAAGTTTTAAGAAATTGTTGATGGAAAATAATCAAAAGAAATTTCAAATTAAAATGCCACAGGCTCCATTTCCAAATATTGACAAAAAGAGCTGAACTAAGCTCCTTTATAGTCTGCAGCTGTTCTGGTTGTAGAAGTCATCGACACTGCAGTGGACAAAGAAAGGAATCTCTCCAGCTATTAACAAGTAAAGGCTGAAACAGCTGTTACAATGATCTTTTTATCCTTTAACAAATACTATCACATGGGAACATGTCCGACTACAAACCTCAGCTGAAGTGTTAGCATTATCTGATGTTGAATCATGTCTGTGATGCTCCAGGCGTGCTAGTGCTTCTTTTCTCCTTTCTTCTCTTTTCTCTAACTTTTCAAAAGCTTTCATAATGGCATCCATCTTTCTTTCTTCCCTTGTCTGAAGAATAGTGAAAGTTAAACATACATAGAGTCTGTGGCTCATTATCTTCAAATAACTTGCAACTGGAGTATTTTGAATACAAGTGTTACAACATGGGAAAGGAATCAAATATGATGAAAGAAGAAAGTGAACTCTATAGAAAACTGATTTTCAAGCGTCATAGGGAGAGGGCCTAGTTAGTTGTCAGAATTTGTGCCCAATCCCTTTGATTATTTCTTTAATAAAATATGTATGAAAAGTGTCACATTATGTTTGTTTTTTTTTATATATTTTGTGCGATTTTTGTTTGATTCACAAATGCATTGGTGGATTGTTACACTTCTACTTACAATCTTTCAATCAGATAGTCCTCATACCACTTAACATAAATGTCATATGCATACCTTGGATATTTTGTTTCGTTTTTCTGCTGGTGTTCCTGACGACACATCCTCGGAGTCACTGCCTACATCCGACACAATTGGAGGAGCTGGGGCTTCAGCACTAGTTTGCTCAGAACTAGTTTGCTCAGCACTAGCTTGCTCGGGTTCCTCCTTCTCCTCTACCACAGGGTCTGTATTTGGCTCCACTATTTCCTACAGGACAAATGTGTCAACATTATTTATATTCACGGTAACGATAGATTTACCTTTAATATAGGGAAACAAAATTGCAAATTCAACTACAAGTGAAAAATTCCCAGTTTATCTATCCATGTCTCTGGTGCTGACATGCATTATGTGTCTAATATGTACATATAACATTTAAAAAAAGACACGATTCACAGAAAGGTCAGCCGATTGTCTGGTACATGCTTTATGTATATTAACAGTTTAAAACTACAAGATTATCACATTTTACTACTACATGTAGGTGACAAGCCACATTAAAAATCGGTTCATTATTATGGTATGGCCTCAATTTTGCACCCCAAGTGATTCTGTATATCATGATATGTGCAAACTTTGGTAAAATAATATGCCTAGACACATAAGATCATTGAAATTGTCAGAAAGTTGATCTAACAGATGCATCATTTATGAATTTTCTCTTCAAGCCAGGACTGTAGTACCTTTTCAACCTCCACAGGTGGAGGAGGGACCTCTATTGGAGCCTTTGGAGGCAATTCCTCTACAACGACCTCCTTCTTTACGACCACCTCCATCATCTTTTTGATGGACGACTTGAGGGGTGACTTGGTAGGAGACTTCACAGGAGACTTCACAGGAGACTTGGCGATAGGCTTTACAGGTGTCCTAGGCAAGGATTTGTCTTTTCTGTAGTAGACACAGAATTAACACAACTTGTTAACATCTCACAATAACAAAATATTAAGAGATGATGTTCAAATGCAAAAAATCTGACTAGTAATATGGCATAATAAATGTAATATCAACCAAAGGTACTGGGAAGCACTACTTCACTATAACAAAGACATGTTACCAAAAACAAATCTGAAAAATCTTCTTCTTCCATTCTAGCCAATACCTTGAAATTTTAACTGTACATCATATTTGCTTCTATTTTCTGACAAAAACAATACAAAATGGACTTACTTATTTTGAGCATTTTGTTTTCGCTTGAAATGTTTTGCTACAGGACAGTTGTTTCTAAGGCAGGCACATTCAACACAGTAGGAGCTGTAAAGACAAAAGTGCACAATACAGCAACCTGAACAACTCACTTTAATATAATCACTTTTCATCTTAGTGCTGGGTATCACCACCAAATCTGCTTCATGATTTAATCTCTTTATCAAGACATGATATGAAATTCTTACATTTTTTCCTCCTTATTCGATTCAATTTTAAATATACATCTTTGATTACATGTCAATTTACTGAACCAGCGTAAGTTGTCATTATATAAGATTTTTAAATATTTATATATACATCTCCTGTCCTAGCAAATTTCTTGATTTCCCGAGGTCATTGGGTGGGTGAACATTTTCACTAGTCTGAAGCCCAGGACTAGTAAACTTTATGCAAGAGGTAGTAAACATTTCGATATATTTAACATGAAACTATAGATTTGACTAGAAGAACTTTCTTCAAAATCTTAACATTTTTCTAAAGACGAATTAATACACTATGTCTTGTCCTTTAACAAAAATAAATGCAAGAGATTGTGGCAGTAGACAAGAACTTACCAGTCCTTGTAGTTGTAATCATATGGTATAGTGATCTCTGAGCCTCTTGGTATGACTTTAGCAGAGTATATGAAGAAATTCGCAACACCTTTGTCCATAATATGCCGAACCTAGAAATGAAAAAGATTATTTACAATGTTTATTGAAGTGTAACAGGGACCAAACATGCATTCACCATAAAGTTTTGATAAACAGAGAACAGTGTGAATTGAACAATTCCTCATGTGTGACAACTTTCAGCAATTTAACAAATTTCACCTGCGAGATATCCTAGCCACTAAAAAAGGGCATGTTTTCTTTGAAATTTGTTCAAAAAGGGGATCTGAGACGAAACACAGGTAATTTATAACAAATTAAAATGCTGGTGGCTCTTCTAATGTTTGAAATTAATTTCTACAAATGTTCAAATAGACACCCTTTAAGGTGGTTGCGATGATTTGTATGTATGTGAATATGTCATTGCAGAGCCATTCAGTTTGTCTTAAATGAATTACCTTGACCTTCTTTCAAAGTCACAAGGGTGAAATGTGCTAAAATATTTAAACACAAGATGTGTTAATATTGTGACATTTTAATTGCTCATTATCATGTTACTGTTTACTAATGAGAGTATACCGGATTAATAATGACATCAACATGTGACCTCTGGAACCCTAAGATTATGTGGTCTAAGTAGAGGCGTGATAGTTCAGATTGTATGCCTCACCTCTGCGTTTGCCTTGCAGGATCTCCTGATAAACCTGGCAGTGCTCCCATAGGAGGTGGCATCTACACACAGTTCTATGTTGTCATACTTGTTGTAGAACAATGCAAAGGGATTAAACCTGTAAAAGTAAATTATATCCTTACTACAGCATACTCATCAACCAGATGAAAACATTCATACATTTATATGCAATATTAAAACCAGCATTTTTTCCAAAGAGCAACATTATCCCCTTGACCCATTACATACTGGGATGCTGTGCTCATTCAAGGTCACAGGAGTCATATGTATGGAAATATTTTAAAAAAAACTTCTGAATTAACTTTGTTTTGATTAATTCATGCTTTCAATGTAAAAAGAATTTTAACGGGTCATTGAATACAAACTAATACATGCAAATCCAAACTTTTTACTGCAGTGAACCTTTGCAAAGTCACAATGTTGACAGAAGTTTGACAATCACCACACCATAATGTCACTTTAGGTCAGGATATTTGATTACAACGAAATCAATACATCACACTTACTGCTTAAAGAAGTTATCCTTGTCAAACTGTTGTTTCAGTGTCACTTTTCCAGTGTATTCTATAATTGGCTCTCCCTCTCCAATGGTCTCAGATGCCTCCAAACCCTGCCAAAAAAAGGGAGATCCAAAATTATTCAGGATTTTTTTTTTAGATAAACAGTTTGTGTTTTTTTCAAAAATACATAAAATAAATACTTTGCAGAGGTTTTTATTGAATACCATCTCTTCACATTTAATTGGAAAGAACTCAATTTGTTAATTTAAATCCTTTGGATAGTATCATGTCTCTTCCCAGACAGTAACTGGTTTATCTGTTAACAAACTAACTGTATATTAGAGGACAGATCAGAATACCTTTCTGTTTTTGTTGACATCAGTGACATGACAAAGCTTGCTCTGCAACTTCCCACTCAATGGATGAAGGTCATCAGCCTAGAACAAATATGTTAACATTTTACACTCCCATTTATCTGGTGTTACTGACATCACAATATTTCTTTTAAAACTGACACAAAACATCATTTACTACATTATACAAAAGCTGCAGCCATAATTGAAATAATCAATATAAAAAAGCCAATTGTGGTACAGCTGAACCTGCTTATTATGATTTTCTATTTGCCAGAGAAAAACATAATAATAACCGATATATTACCAAACGATCAAGCTATTTTCGATTGATGTTAGGTTGTCTGAACTGGAAGTGAGATGCCCGATAATCTTCAGACATAGATAGATGTGGAAACATGGGAAGATGTTAATACAAATTGATATTGCAATAAATTGTTAATTGTTATTAATATCATCTAGTATCATTCTACTTTCACCTTCAAAATATTTTGAACCATTCCTAAGAAGTATCATTATACTACATCCAAGCAAACCATACCTTAATGTAACAGACAATAGGGAGAAAGAAGTGATAGATATAGGAATAGTCAGGAGTTACCTAGTTTGCGATGAAAAAGTGTTACATTGTACCATAAACGTAATATTTTGCCGCACTATGTCAATTTTGATCACGTGACAATCCCATGCCTCAAAAGTTGTGCTGTGAAAGCAATTTACATAGACAAAATACAACAAAACCCACCAAATATTCCCCATTACTTTAGCAAAAATAGAGTACATTTTGAAATTTGAATAAATTCATTAACTTTGGACCATTTTCCAGCACCATGCTGTCAGGACGGTGTCCAGATTTTGATGCTTTTTCAACGTAGACACAGTGAAATTAACATGCAATGTGATAAGGAAACTTTTATTTTAAATGATAGAAAACACACCACTTGAAATCGGCATGGTTTTTCCCACACAACGTGTCAAGATAACTGTGAATATCTATAAAATGCATGCTTGTTTTCTATCAGAATTTGTGCTAAAAAATGTTGGTAAAATAGCCATTAACTACTTCTGTTTATACTTAAATATATGACCGACATGCGAAGGTCTATCGCTTTCCACTGACTGGGGTGTAGCAAAGTGTGAAACACTTACCTTGACAGATAGGCTGTGCAACAATCACCTCAGGTGATGTACATTTATTTAGCTAAACCTATTATCCAGGTGTCACACACAGACAAATTACCCGAGTTTTAGCTTATTCACGGTAGAAAACCCCCCATTAATAAGCAGGGTTCAACATTTGACCATATCGTTATAAAGTTGGGTTCCACGGTACAATTTTCTTAGAGCATATCTTTTCCTTTTTAAGTCAACTTACTGGTTGACCATTTATGCGTATGGCCATAAGTGCTTGGATGTCTGGACTGTATTGATTTTCTATTGCCTCTTCATATTTGTCAACCCAGGGACTAAAAAAATCAAACAAAAATATCATTTACAATTCTAATAGCCGACTCTTAATTAAGGATTACTTCATGATCAGTAAAACAGGAGTTAATTATAGATTTTAATTTTTCATTGTAAATCAACATTCAGTTCCAATTTCTCTGCATTAGTTCTGTGGTTGTCTGTTGTTTGCTCACTTTCAAAATTTACCTTTAGTATTAGATATTATCTTGGATCATAAAACAAGAATCTACTGTTTTAGCCCATTTGTGTCATTCAGTCAAGAGTCTTCAGTCTTACCTGTAGCTACTATCCCAGGGATCCTGGGCGTTTTCGTTCATCACGAGAGTCAATCCAGGCTTTTTGTTCAGCTATCAAAGAAATAATACAAATTGAAATGGAAATAATTTTGTGCAACTTTAATATTCATAGCTGGACATCTTAACTAATTATAATGAACAAATCAAGTACAAAAGCTTTTCTTATTTTGCATTATACACATAGGTAGGCCAATTGCCAAGGCTATGCATTCCTAGTTTCCAATGGAATGTTGGAGTCAAAAAGCCATAGCTGCTTGCACATCAGAGAGGGGTGAATGACCAAGGTATGAACAACTGTATTATACTGTACAAGATGACTGGAGGTTTGGCATACAAAGCAGTAACTTGACATGCGAACACAGCATGACATATGCTGATTTAGCCTTTTAGACACATACATGTTTTTCCATCTAATAAAAAACAAAACTTACTTTGGATTTATTGATCTTTTTGCTGATGGCTTCCTTAATGGCTGTTTGCTGTTGACAAAAAATAAATAAAAATTAGAAATGTATGTAGATCCCTCTATGTATTTTTGAACATAAAACTTTACATAATGATGTATATTTAAACACTTCACTTTCTTTCCGTCAATAAAGAAGTATGAAAACTGAACCTACTTTTTGCTTTTTGTCTGCTTCTTTATTCTCTTTTTCCTTTTTTATGTTAATATCTTTCTTATCCTTCTTTGGCCTTCTTAACTTGACATCATTTTTATTAGGAGTGGTTGGGTTGTTCCTGTCACTGCGAACTCTGGTCTTTTTCCTGTTTTTACCCTTCTTTGTGTTCATGAGTTGTTGAGACATTTGCCTGTTCATTGCTTCTTCCGGGTCTGTATCAGTAGCACTAGAATCTGTTGGAAAGAAACATGTGGGTGTTCTTCAATTGAAAATTGCATTGATGTTACAAATAGGTCTTTTTTGTTACATATAGCATCACTTAGACATGTCAAAGTCCATGTCTTCACAAATCGACAAGATATTTAAGATAAATGAGTCAAATTATTTAAATGAATTGCAGCCCTTATTATGGAATACTGCCAATTTGGAATAAAGAACAAAATTACGTCGTTTCAGAGTTAATGAAATCATCAGTGCAACTTCCACTCCGTAAACCTGATAATCTATAGAAACTGAGACCAAATTCAAAGGCAATCTGTGGCATCTGTGTTCCATATTGGCACAGTGGATCAAATATCAGCACCATGAAATGAAGGTCAAACACCAGAAATGGTAGGAACAAGTCTTCTAATCTTATCATCCATTTGTTTAACCAATACTAAATCCTGTACCATTGATGAGAAGCTCTTTCCTCTTGGTCTGCAGTTGTCGAGCTCTTTCTCTGTCTAACACCCGAGGCTCACAGATTTCACAGAAATAGGACTCAGGAATGTTGCTCCTGTCAACTCCCATACAGTCTATGTGTTGCCAGACACTGGAACAAATCAGAATTTATAATAACCTGTAAACAAACCTTAATTTAGCCATCATGACATATCAAGTGAAGCACAGACACCAAAATATGGATTGGTTCTGTGGCAGCCATACAAGTTTTAGACATGTTATTAGTTGTAGATAGTTGTTAGCCTTCCTTCTGTCACAATTACGTTCAGGTTAACCGACTACTGTGCATGAAGTCTCAGCTGATGTATTCTCGTTGCATATGATACTACAATTTTTAAATCAGTTTTAAACACTTTCAGAATCATACACAAACATTTTGTTTTTTCATCTAATGACAAATACATCATTCTCAAGTTACCTTCAAAATGTGCTCAAGATGTGTACAGTAATGAATATTTAGTTAAGCATCAACACCAGGCATGCCAACAATTCCTACCTGCATTTGTCACAACAGATCATGTAGCCATCGTCATGTGTGTAGTCACAGATACACCTGGTAATGCTATCGTCCTCGACAGAGATCTCGCGAGCCACCTCTGTGGCCGCCACAGCTGGCACCATGACCACATCCTCCACCTCCAGCTGGAGGCCCTTGTCCACTTGTGGTGGAGACGGCGGCTGGGGTGGAGGTGATGGAGGAGGAGTAGGAGGCGGTGGAGCACCATAGTTGTGATCCTGAAATAATAAAATTGATTTACAATCATTCTAGCTTTCTCTCTTTATAAATCCAGTAAAGACTCAATACTTTTCTCTCTTTATAAATCCAGTAAAGACTCCATACTTTTCTATCTTTATAAATCTGATAAAGATTTAAAATCAAAAAGTATATCTATCAATGCAAAAGCCAAACTGAATGCAGCAGTGGTGATCCTCTTTCATTTTTTTGTCATTTGACCCTGAATATAGTTGTAATTCAATCGTGTAAGAAATGTTCATTCAAAAGACTCCTATTGAAAAGAATGCTCAAGGACAACATTTGATATAAAATATGAACTTACTTGGTAAGGCAAGCCAAAACATCCCGGGTAAGTCTGGGGTATCATGTAATATTCTCCTGTGGGACAATCCACCACATCGGTGCTGAGACAATGCAAAGAAACATGAGACATAATAACAAACTGTCATCAAAGCTGAGACAAGAAAAAAGAGTGTAGTCAACAATTTTTCAACCTGTATTTTACCCACAAAATTGATTAAAACGGAATTTTAAGATATCCCCCCCCCTCCGTGTTCTCCCCAGGCTGTTTTTGCAGCATGGCACCATGCTCCTATAATTTCTTGCCATGCTGCTATCCTAGATCTTCTCCGCTATATATTCATAGTAAATCTAAAGTTACCATGCTGCTTTGATTTTACATAGAGTGCTGCTTTAACAGAAATATTGAAATACCATGCTTCTTTCAAAACATTCTGGGGAGAACACTGCAAAAAGTGCTGTGAAATATGGATAATTTTCAAGATTGAAGACATTGTCTAATGAAGCTACTTACTCGTTCGCCACATCTTTTTGGCCTCCATCATTTGTATGGACTACCCCTAGCCTCAGGACCACGCTCATCGTGAGGGTTCTACATTGGGCCTAATCATGGTAGTGGACATGGAAATACACGTGAACAGTCTCCTCCATTCCAAATAAAGAATCGGAACACAACCTGTAATGTAGGGGAAAACACATTTTATATACGTATATATACATTGATATTAATCGATACATCTGTAGTTTATTTTATGCAAGAAATTCACTTTGTTCAGGAAAATTTCAACAGATTCTCATATGTATCTAAATTCCATAACATCTTCTTATTTTGCTTCATGTATGTGACATGATCATGCATGGCTATACTATTGGCTAATATATAAAATTAGATTAGTGACGTCTCTACAGATGGACCTAAATCAAGACACCATACGTGCGACATTTGTTGAATGAGCTCCTAGGGAAATACTGTCTGGCTGTTATAAATTCTGTATCAAGCTGTAGACACATGTACACATACAACAATTATATACAGTGTAATACCTTTCCGATAAAGTTGGGAAAATATGTACACTCTCACAGAACACACAACACTACACCTGCAGGCACAGTACACTAAATGTTTATATCAGTGTTAGCAATTCAGCATAAAACACTGCAAAATATCACTGTTTTATTTAGGAAATGTTATTTTATCTATTTGACATAGCTATTTTATTGTCCAAACCATGGCCATATGGCAAAACTTATTAGTCTTTTAAGAAGCTCACCTTAAAAATTATATTAATAAAGACAAACTTGTACATGCATCTAAACAACTATCGCTCATTGCATAAACTTGTACTAACTATTCAGTTAACATTTTTCTATAAAAATAAACCTTGAATGTGTATTAACAGATACATTGCAATTTCATATTAACAAAGTGTCTAACAAGGTACCCCATGTGTACAACACGTGTAATCAGATGCTGCCTTTTTTTTAGCTTGTAAATGAGTGTGACTAATAACATACATCACTTAGCTTCAGCAGGCTGTTCTGTTTTCACACAAGTATATACTGTCCGTGCAAGCACTTGAAGATTTAGTAGCACATATAATTTTGTACTCTGTATATTACTGCATTTTTCTAATCAGAATGATTAAACAGGAAAAGACAATGCAAGGAAAACGTCTAGTTTGTACTATGTACACATTTCTATTGATGTACAGCTGTGTAATAATAAAAGCAGACTTATTAAATAATGCCCCTCGTTGAGCAGAATTTTCACTGGGATGATGGATACTTAAGACGCATAATTTATTCCCTCCCAAATATATTTTTTTACAGAAGATGATGTGCACATTGTCAACGGTCATGTATGTATGTGCACACTACAAGCGTCAGCGCTCTAAAGTTTGCCCACTTCAGGAGAGTAATGAAGTCAGTGCAGCGTCTGATATGCGTTTGTGGTGGCTTTATAACTAACATATGATATTGGCAGACAAATGTAAACATTTGTATGCATATATGGAATCATATAAATCATAACATCCACAGAAATAAAACACTGTATTTTAGCGAAGCTGTCATTCATGGCATGCCGGCTTCGGGGGTCATAAACTTTATATTTGGATTACCTACTAACCCAGAGGCAGATTTTAAAACATTCCGAAAGCCAATTTGCAAACCTACCTACAAATTGTATAAATTCTAGCATAAAATATTAAGTAATATGATTTTGTAATTAAAAGCATTTATTTTAAATGATCTTTATATTTTTCTTTCCCTCTCCCTGAATGTTTTGTAACATTTAATTCTGCTTGGAAATATGGAATGGCCGCAGTTTTAAGCGACCAGCATCAAGTTGACTACAGAAAAAGATTGGAGACAGAGTCTTGCTAATCAAGATGTGTTTAACAGCATATCTTTTCAATTTAAATTACTGATATAATGTGCATATACATCAATGATTAATCACATCAAATGATGAATAGTGACATCATGTAGTAACACACAACAGGAAAAGTATTTGTTCATCTTCCCTTATAACATTCCTGATGATAAGCTTCCGTACAGATGTATCACAATTGAATGACAGGTGCTGATGATGTTACATTGCAATTGATGTATGTCAGATTTAGAACTGAAAGTGAAGGCATTGTGACAGACAGAACCACTGAATCTTTGGAGTTACACCAGAAATCTTTAGAGTTACACTTGAAATCTTCAGATTTACACTAGATGCGCCTGGATTCAAAATCATAGTAAATAAAGGATACAGACATATCTTTTCCAAAAAACAAACAGAAAATATTAATTCCTATTTATTTAATGGAAGTATTGGGGAATGCTTGATTAAAATCCTTGATATATATGCACATTATTTAATTATTGTAATAAAACCTTTAATACATGTAATATGGAATTGTGTAACAGCAAAACTGGAATGTAATTATTAACATTGAAGAAAATATAACCCTTTCAAAAAGCTTTGATGAGAGCCATTTAACTAATTATTAGAAGCAAATGATGCAACTTACAACACTGTTGCATGTGCACAGAACAAATTCTGTGTGTAAATGATCTTTTGTTGGTAAGGATGTCTCAGTCTAGGAAATTTAATATACTTTGTAAAAGTATGTAAGAATTGCACTTGATTCCGGTGTCATAAAAATATATGTCTAAAAAACATCAGTCTGCAAACTTTTGGAATGAACTCCAGTACAGAAATACAGCTTAAATTTCCAGAAACTTCATGTCCCAGACAATAATATTAACCTATGAAATAAGCTATCTATAAAGGGAGATAACTAGGTTATTTTGCATGGATATTATAATTGATATGACTTTGTCCAACATACCGAGCTGTATTTGTCTCATTTTAGTCAATCCCAAGTAAAACAAGTGGGATAACAACTGCTTTGAAACATCAGATTTATCTTACGAACAATTCTGGTCTGTCATGATCATCCACTATACTGAACACTTTAAATTTCCATTTATACGTATACAGATCTGATCTTGCATGTTTACTTTTGCATAAAATCTATTTGCTGAAGCAATTAACGTGTAGATAATTGTTGAAGATAATTAAACTTACTTAATTGGTCACAAATTTTCATCAATTTTTAACCGTTGGACAGCCTTGGAGATGTTTTGCAATTTTTTAGGTCAAATAAACTTAAATTTTCCCTTGAAATTTGAAGAGTCAAACTTGTACATGTTATTTACTTTAATAGGCTAATAGACCCATGAGTGAACATTCAACTTGGAGACTAAAGAGTCAACAATTAAAAAAGACATTCTGAAGGGTCTACTAAAAGCCCTGCTGGAGTATAATAATGGTTGACCAGAAAACTTATGATAAACAATATATTTTCATTTAACATCTATTTTCTATTATTTCTGATGAAATCAGTTATTCCCAGCATTGAATTATGTATTCTACAAAAATATTTACAGATAAATAACCAGTGTGTACTGTATTGCAACTTTGTTTAAGGTGAGTCATTAAACCTTGTTGCTGAATCATACACATACGATAGGCAAAGAATGATGCCATGATCAATTATTCATGTAGCATAGTATGAGGTCAAACATCAACACAATTATTAAAACGATAAGTTGGAACAACACTGATCATAATGCAATCGGGCAATACTGTCCAACATTAATATTGGATACAGGAATATAAGACCAAAGATATCACATTATCTTATTAATTTGTCACTTTTTTACTTCAATTAGACATGGTAAACGAATGCGAGACAGCATCAAAATGTGACACTGAAACAATTGGATTGAAAACTGGAACTGAAACACTGATGTTTCACTGCTATTGTTATTTGGTTATGCATAACAAATACTAATAGTGAAAGAATAGAAATGAATATTCCTTATCATCAAGCAATACAACAACCCTTGATATTTTATAAACAATAAATATAGACTTGTTTTAACGTCTGAAAACAAGTTTTTTAATCTCAAACCAAATTTTCTGTTATAATGTCAAAAACGTTGACACAAACGTTATATAATGTTTGTTGCTAACAAAAATCACAGACATTCACAATTCTGTTCTATGGATACGAATCAAACCAGACACTAGTTAGATATATAGCAAATGCTAACTTGCGTATGCTTTGGCTATGGAACAGCAGCTATTGAATGTCAAATAAAACGCAAACATACAACTGTAGGACCTTCATGCTCTCTGACAGTTTCCATAAATGCAAAAAATTATTTCTATAAATTAAAATGGAGTTTTGACCCTGCAGTAACATGTTCACCGAATTCATTAACATAACAATTGCACGACCATCAAACATAATTTGTGTTTCGATTTATAGGTCACTAAATAAGAAGACACAATTTTTCTGAAATGCACTCGTAAGTTCTTGTTAATAAACTACTTAACAATGCTACCAACAGGGTTGAAAATCCAATTAAGACGATCAAACATTCCCAAAATTCAAAACCCCCGGCGCCATTTTGACTATGGCGGACCAAAACGTTCGATAAAATTAATTTTTAGCTCCATGTATTTTTCTAGCTTCTACAAATGCAAACAATCTGCAAGTTACTGCATACTCACCAGTAAAATATAATTTTCCTTGCAAAACACAATTACATGTCAAATTGAGTGTCCAAAACACAGACCAACTAGTGACACTCTAACTGTCAAAATCGTAAGACTGTTTAGAACTGACGATCTTGTTTACATATCACTGTTCACAAAACGCAGCAAATAAAACGCAATGTCGACATGCTTTACGTTCCAAATGACAAAGATATAAAACTTTTCACATTGCACAATAAAGTAACATCCATGTCTGCCATTGAAAATGCCTGACAGCTGTCTGAATGGGCCTATACTAGTCTGAAACTGACTTATTTCTTTAATCCTACAGCCGCCATTACAATTTGTTATTCTACGGGTCTGACGCTACAGTAAAAGGGAGGGCCAACGTCCGGTGATGTCATTTATCATATATCGAAACATATTAAAGTATTTTTCTTAAATTTCGTTATTTCTCATATTCCTGAAACATACGTATTCTTTATTTTTCTATTTTCTGCTACTGATTTTATTACTATTTTTCAACCTCCGGCAAAAACCGGCAATGTTCGTTTGGTTAACACAACGCATGCGCGGTAATTTGGCAGGAAAGAGCACTTGCCCGAATGTAAATAAACTGTCATCGGGATGGTGCAGGCAGACAGAAGGGTTGTGACGCTTTGAGTGTTAAGATGATGTACCAATCCTCGAGTGAAGATGAATCGGAGAACGAAACAAACGAGGATGAGATCACGGACGTTCTTAACCCCCCAAACATTAGTGCAGAACAGCAGAGCCTGTCTACTAGCGGGCACAGTGGGGATAACTTGCCAAGTCTCTTGCCTCATGGCCGGTCCAACAGTATCCGACCGTCGAGTCCCAGTCCCTCCCTCCATAGTGACAGAACGGAAAAGGGGGCTGATGACACTGAAAAATTGGAAAGGGAAGAGGAAGAGAGAAAGAAAAGGCTCCAGCTATATGTGTTTGTGATGAGGTGTATAGCGTATCCTTTCAATGCTAAACAACCAACTGACATGGCCAGACGACAAACGAAAGTAACAAAACAGCAACTACAAACAATTAAGGATAGATTTAATGCATTTCTAAACGGGGAAACAAGTATTGTCGCTGACGAAGCATTTACAAATGCAGTGCAAAGCTATCACGAAGTTTTTCTAAAGAGTGACCGTGTAGCAAATATGGTTAAAAGTGGTGGTTGTTCTGCAAATGATTTTAGGGAGGTGTTTAAAAACAATATTGAAAAACGGGTAAGAAGTTTACCTGAAATTGATGGATTAAGTAAAGAAACAGTTTTAAGCTCATGGATGACAAAGTTTGATGCAATATTTAGAGGGGAGGAGGATCCAAGAAAGCAGCCACAACGGATGACAACGGCTGCATCTGAACTGATTTTAAGCAAGGAACAACTTTATGAAATGTTCCAAAATATTCTAAATGTCAAAAAATATGAACATCAAATTTTATACAACGCTTGTCAGGTAGGTGTTTAGAACTTTAATGAAGCTTAATTAATTGATTTAATTAATTTAATGTTTAATGTTTAAAAGCAAAAATATGGAACCAAATCAGATTTAAAAAAAAAAATGTATTTGATTCAACCACTCAAGACAGTGTTATTGTTAATAATTTAGTTCATGTACAAACCACAATAAATCTACCAAGTTAAATATAACTATCAGTGTTTACATTAGCCTTAAAAGTTGCGTCACAATGACACAATGTGAATATTATCTAGGAATATCCTTAATACGCCTTTCAAATATATCAGGTCTCTTGCAATATGTCTTTTGATATTCATTTTTAAATGGGGATTACATCGTTATGACCAAAGAGCTTGTAACCATAAAGCCAAACATCGGTGTTAAAAAGTGTATGTAAATTATTACAATGGAGCATTTTGGGGAAAAAATCATTCTACACACAATAAATGTGTATGCATATATATATATGTATGCATATGAACATTCCTGATTTGAATGAGATTCTCTTCATGTTTTGAAATATTTTAATAATACCTGTACAGCGATAAACTACATGTACATGCGAGTCCTGTACCCACAGAATTTGGATATGACCCAAATAATTTCTAAAAATACTGAAATTTTACATCAAGTTGGACCCATATCTTTTTACCATACAATAGAAGAAGACCCATACAAACTAACTGTCGATTGATCACTGCCTGTATACCATAAATCTCCAAAAGCTAAAAAGCTTACAATGATGTATTTTACAGCGAAAGATACAGCGAAAGAAAAGATATGCAGTGTATGAACAAAGTACATATTGGAATTTATAAATTTATAAAAGTAGGATATAAAAAAAGTTACACAAAGTATGTACATATTGATCACAAATTGATTTATAAAATACAAATTTCATCATAATTGTATAACATGTGATGTTACACAGTACAGTACAGTGTATAGTATTGAACAGATTCTATTCAAAGTAGTGGAAATGTCAACTTTTCCAGCACACATGCTGTCGCTCGCTGCATCAATACATGTACCTAGTGGTGAATGATTCAATATGTTACATACCGCTAGTAGTACTATACATGGATATGTTGTAAGTCATGAGTATACAGTGTCACTGATACAATCAATAGATACTTGTGTAGCCAATACACGGAGTTATTTAAATATTTTTCTGGATCAAAAAAGATCTGACTACTCTCACAAATGGAGACATTTCATTAAATCTTAATGGGTTTTGCAATAAAAGCATTGGCTATTAAAAGTGAAAAAAAATACACAGGCCAACAGCATCTTAATCATTCGCATGAGTTGCATACATGAAGAAAATTAAATCTCCTATTTCAATATAAGGAAAATTTCCACCACATTTGCTGATATAAATTCCAAGATGAATGTATTGTTATCTTTTTCTCAATTTTTGCATTTGTGTAGGTGTTAATGTTTTTCTGAACATATGAAGTAGGGGATGGTCAGCCTCCAGTATACAGGTGTTTGCCTCATCTCACCTTCATGGCTACCTGACAGGTGAGGATGTCGGACTCTAGTATACAGGTGTTTGCCTCATCTCACTTTCATGGCTACCTGACAGGTGAGGATGTCAGACTCTAGGATACAGGTGTCGCTCCCTATCAGTTTTCACAGCTACCTGACAGCAGGGGAGGGTCAGACTCCAGTATACAGGTTTTTGTCTCCCTATCATAGCTACCTGACAGGTGGGGGAGGGTCAGACTCCAGTATACAGGTGTTTGTCTCCCTATCATAGCTACCTGACAGCAGGGGAGGGTCAGACTCCACCATACAGGTGTTTGTCTCCCTATCACAGCTACCTGACAGCAGGGGAGGATGTCAGACTCTAGTATACAGGTGTCGCTCCCTATCAGTTTTCACAGCTACCTGACAGGTGAGGGAGGGTCAGACTCCAGTATACAGGTGTTTGTCTCCCTATCATAGCTATAGCTACCTGACAGGAGGGGGAGGGTCAGACTCTAGTATACAGGTGTCGCTCCCTATCAGTTTTCACAGATACCTGACAGCAGGGGAGGGTCAGACTCCAGTATACAGGTGTTTGGCTCCCTATCATAGCTATAGCTACCTGGCAGGTGGGAGATGGTCAGACTCCAGTATACAGGTGTTTGGCTCCCTATCATAGCTATAGCTACCTGACAGGAGGGGGAGGTTCAGACTCTAGTATACAGGTGTCGCTCCCTATCAGGTTTCACAGATACCTGACAGCAGGGGAGGGTCAGACTCCAGTATACAGGGGTTTGTCTCCTTATCACAGCTACCTGACAGCAGGGGAGGATGTCAGACTATAGTATACAGGTGTCGCTCCCTATCAGTTTTCACAGCTACCTGCCAGGTGAGGGAGGGTCAGACTCCAGTATACAGGTGTTTGGCTCCCTATCATAGCTATAGCTACCTGACAGGAGGGGGAGGTTCAGACTCTAGTATACAGGTGTCGCTCCATATCAGTTTTCACAGATACCTGACAGCAGGGGAGGGTCAGACACCAGTATACAGGTGTTTGTCTCCCTATCACAGCTACCTCACTGGTGGGAGGGGGTAGACTCCAGTATACAGGTGTTTGTCTCCTTATCACAGCTACCTGACAGCAGGGGAGGGTCAGACTCCAGTATACAGGTGTTTGGCTCCCTATCATAGCTATAGCTACCTGGCAGGTGGGAGATGGTCAGACTCCAGTATACAGGTGTTTGTCTCCCTATCACAGCTACCTGACAGGTGGGAGAGGGTCAGACTCCAGTATATAGGTGTTTGTCTCCCTATCACAGCTACCTGACAGGAGGGGAGGGTCAGACTCCAGTATACAGGTGTTTGTCTCCCTATCATAACTACCTGACAGCAGGGGAGGGTCAGACTCCAGTATACAGGTGTTTGTCTCCCTATAACTTCTACCTGACAGATGGAAGAGGGTCAGACTCTAGTATACAGGTGTTTGTGTGATGCTGTATGTGTATGAAGAATGTTTTGTGCCAAGTATTTAGATTCCTTAATAAAACAACAGGTTGATAAGTAAGTATACTCTATGGATGTAAGTAAAAACAATGAATTAGTTGTATAATGTATATCCAGTAAGCATAGAGATAAAACAAAGGCTACTTTACAAATTTGATAAAATACTCTTTGCTTCTTTTTACACCTTGTTTATTACAATCTTTGTGAAGGCCTGCTTTTTTTCACAATCCTTTGATCAAATAACATCATTGTTTTTGCAAAATGTTCCTTGGAGATTGTTGCAGAGTAGCCAGGCTAATAAACTATTGATTTTTGATCAATAATTGGTAGATTCTATTTGTAGAATAGTCTAATTGACATGATTGATTTATTGATTGTACTTCTTAGCTGATGTTTATTGTACTAGTCCTATATACAGTAGCACGAGAATCCAAATGCTCATGGGCATGGCTACAAAAATCAATCAACTGATTTAAGAAACAAACCTAAAGCTCTGGCGAACATACTTCTGTATTTGGAATCACATGCAGGGGTGTTTCCTCATTAGTTCACCTAGTAGTGTATCAGGGACTTTTCTTTTAAAGGACTCCTTGTCCAGAATGGCTAAACACATTTTGACAAAAAAAATTGTCATAGACTTTTGCTGGAACAAAGAAATTCAATGTTGTTTAAATGAGGGTGTAGGTGATCAGTCTTCAATAGGCTACTTATAAGTATTGGTAAAGGGATTAACTGGACAAAATGAAGGTATAACACTGCAGTTTGAGTGATTCTTCCTTAAAAAGAATTTTCAATTTGAGTGCATGGAGTGCATTAATTTTGAATACTCATAACTGAAGTTGGGAAAAAAAATGTATCTGCAAGCATGATATGGAGAAATATTAAAAATATATACCATTATGATGTAGAGAAATATTAAATATATCTACCATCATGATATGGAGAAATATTAAATGTAATGTATCGACCATCATGATATGGAGAAATTTTAAATATATCTACCGTCATGATATGGAGAAATATTAAATGTATCGACCATCATGATATACCTATAGATAATATTGCATTGTTCCAGCCCTAAATCATATTTGCTTAGAAATATAGCATGGTCATGATCATGGCATTTTCACTTCGCTAACAGTAAAACATTTGATTCATGTGATATTTAAACTAGCATATTTTGACATTTACGAATATCAATACTTGCAGCAGATGCTGAATTAAGTCCTGATGATAGTTATATTTACATTGTACATTTCCTAAGTGATTCTTTTGGAAATTTGACAAAATATTGAATACATATTAAATTAATATCAGCTACATTACTGTACCTTGTATTTATAGGTTTTTGTAGAGCTTTGCCTACAAAAAACGATTTGAGTGATAGCAGATTATAACTGCTAATACAGCAGCTTTTAATAATATTAAAGACCCAATAGGGTTACCATTCTGGTCCATATCCCATAAAATCAACCCTGCACTGATGCATAAGTAGATGTTATCGTACAAATAATATTATAGTAATGTATATTAACCAAGTATTCTAAAATATTATTTTGAGTCCAAAAACCGTTGTCAAGATTAATTTTGAAATATGTGAAATCTTGATTAAAATGACTGAAAATTTTGTAAAAAAGTTTTGCATGCATGTATACTTTTAGCTAGCTCTACATGTATGTAATTATTACTTTGAGCTAATGTTTGTGTGCTGTTGTTCTCCACATAAACACCAATCTATACTTTAAGCTTGCTTGTATATTTATACGTAACTTAAGCATCAGCGTATAATTTGAGCCGATGTACGGTCTAGTGGTTAGTACTCCATATACATAGAACCAGTATGTACTTTGAGATTAATTATTAGGTGTGCAGTCATTTTCCACATACTCATAAGTATAGACTTTGACCTTATATGTAATTAATTTGAGCTTGTGTGTCACATTATTTATTATTTATATTTCGTTTAATTTGCTCCAGAATACATTTTAAACTTACACGTACGTAGCTATTGTTCACATCAGAGC